ATCTTTTCGACATTCTCAACATTCCTTGGGTTTGGAAGAAGCAAATACACGGTCCTGTCATTGAAATTATTGGACATATGGTCGACTCTGAGAAGATGATCATGTATCTGCATCCAGATAAGAAAGCGCATTTAATTCAAAGACTTCAAGATTTTGTGGCAGTTCCTCAACATTCACTGAACAATTGGCAAAAGCTCTTAGGTCACGCTTCATGGGCCTGTACGTCGATGCCGTGGGGTCGCCATGCTTTACAACGTTTGTATGATAAATCGGGTGACAAGTCTCACCGATATCTTAAGATTCACCTTGACAAAGAGAATCAGAACGATTTACGTTGGTTGATTGAATTTTTTAAAGAAAGTTCTGGTGTTCAGTTGCTTAGAACGTTGCGTTGGGGAGAAGCCGAGGCGAATTCAGTTTTTTATACGGACGCCTGCATGCACGGGATTGGCATATGGGAGCCAAGAACAAAATTTGGCAATTACCATATTCTTCCTCCTCCTCGTCGTAATATTTTCTGGGCTGAGTTGCTAGGTGTGATCTCAGCAATTAATCTGGGTATCTCTAACGGTTCGAAAAGGATTTTAATCTTCTCAGACAACTTGAACGTGGTAACCTTGTTTGGCAGTCATGCGCCTAACGAGATCGTCCGCCCGTTATTCCGCCATTGCGCGAAACAAATCGTGTTGGCTAAAGCTGACGTAAAAGTCAGACATGTTTCAGCAGAAAATAATTTCTCAGCCGATCTCTTGTCGCGCCAAACAGAAATTCTTCCACCAGATAAGATCGAGGTTATACGGCTTGCAATCAACGCCGACTCAGTATCGTACCTTCACATCGACCGTTCTCTTTCTTGTGGTGGTAGAGAAACAAACCTTTTTTCTTCAAATCTTTCGTAGTCATCATGGTTAATTCAAGTTCAAGCTTAGGCCGAAAATCGAACTTGTCTCATCCTATGTTTAAAATTAGTTTAGAAGAACTTTGTGTCATCTCTAATCAAGATCAACGTTCAACTATCCAAAATGTTTCTCTCGATAAGTACAAATCTGGCTTTCGTTCTTTTGTGAAATTTTGTTCCCACTTTAAGCAACCTTTAATTCCAAACAGAAGAAACTTATGTGATTTTGTTTTGATTATGAGTCATATCATATCTCCTCGTTCGGTTAGAGCATATTTAGTTGGTATTTTTCATATTTTTAGGTTGGATTTTCCTTTGATAATCTGTGAAGCAAAGCATCAAGATGTCAAGGACACCATGAAATTCTGCATTCAAAATTTTTCAAAACCGGTCAAAAGAAAAAATCCTCTCACCATTGAACATTTAGAATTAGTAGTCTCAAAATCTTCTTTGTCCTTTGATGACAAGCTCTTTTTAGCCATGTTAGGTATTGGTTTCGGAGGTCTTCACCGTTTAGGAGAATTAACCATTCCGGATTCAACGAAGTATCAAGATTCAAGAAAAATTATCTCTCGTTCATCTCTCAAATTCTCAAGTTGCAAGAACTTCGTCCAATTTAATTTACCTTATTCAAAAGGTGATAAAAACTTTTTAGGTGCGCCGGTGGTTATTCAACAATTCGCCATTAATACTTCAGCATGCCCTATTAAGTTATTAAAGTCTTATCTTTGTGTCAGGGACAACTCGTTCATCACTTCGCCTGAACTGTTTATCTCTTCCAATGGTTCTCCTCCTTCTCGTTCCTGGTTCCTCAAAAAATTTCACATTTATTTTGATAAATCTTCCTCTGGTCATTCCTTACGGTCGGGTGGTGCAACTGTGTTGGCTCAAGCAGGTGCTAACATGGATTTCATTAAAAGCGCCAGTTGTTGGTTTTCAGAGGCTTTCCTAATTTATGTCCGTGGACATGTGGCTTTACGATTACCTGAGAATCAAAATCATGTAATCGGGCACTCGTCTCATGTTGGCACAAGGGTTTCTTTTTCTTAAAAGTAAGTCGTGAGTGGGTTTTTTACTTGGTGATGTCTTTTATTTTTATAATTTTCATCGAGTTAGACCTTTTAGGTTATTTTTGGGATGGCTTTCTCGCCCATCCTTCGAGGTTTTATCCTTGCTTTGGTCGTTTAGGTTTTCATACCTTGGTTTAATGTTGGTTTGGGCAGTGTATTTTGATACATGAAACTGACTTGCTTGTCTATCCTCGTAATAACTTTTTCTTTGACCCTATCCTACTTCACCACTCTGCTTATACGGTGTTATAGGCGGGTCGGAGAGGGTCTTTGTTAGTTGTGTCAAGCAATTCATAAGCCTAGGCACCTAGCCTAGGGATTCGCCCAAACCTCGTGCGCTTTGGTATTTTTATACCAAGTTTTTAGTAAGTTTAATGAGTACACATTTCAACTCGAAAATTATGTCACTCTCAGACTAACTCAATTGTTCTTGTGCTAGATCTGACCAATGAGCAGTAAAGTTATCAGTCTCAAAAGGGTTTTTTGGAGTTTTTGACCTCTACATCAAATCTGGCGACAACACAATGATCTAAAAATCTGCCGATAGATCTTACAATGGCTGTAATAAGTCTACCTGTCTTTGATTCTCAAAAATTCATGAATAAATCAAGTCAATTTTTTTTTGAAATGATATGCAGATCCAACCATATAGAAAAATCTAAAATCATGAGAAATATATCCAGAGTTCTTTAATCAGCACTTATGTGACATATGTTTACGCAAAGCTGTCACCCAATGAATATACATTTTTGCTTATCTCAAATCTTGAAACTCTACAATCTTTTTCCTCAAACAAGAAGTTTGAACTCAGACGAGTTGCATGGCAGATGTTGATACAGTCAAACCGGAAAAGCTTGTCACAAATTCCCCACCAATTTGCTTGAGGTTTGCGGGAAAAATTGGTCAAGCTTTTCAAATTTGACTGTATCTTCTATAACTCATATCACAAGCTTCAATTTTACGCTTGCTATACTATAGTCAATGCAGGAAGACACATGGATTCCTTCTTTCTTATGAAAAAAGAGCTGTGGATCTGGGACCCTCAAACTGGACATTTTGGGGATTGATCATCAAAAGTACGTACATTGCCCGCTGCAGGGCGGGCCTTTACAACTACTGTTTCCGTGCAAAGGCTGTGCCAAGCTAACCCACTGTGAACATCATTCAACTTCCTCAAGTTGAAAGAGGAAAATGATTAATAGTACAGTTTATCATAAAAGGATCCAATACTGCACACCTGAGCCATAACACCCACACTACATATGTGCAGAAAGCTAAGTAAATAGTTGTCTATCATGTACATACAGGTCTGCTCAGTTTTTTGCCTATCAGAATAAATAAATCACATGTTATACCACATGTAACTTTTTTCATTTCTTAGTAACAGAAAGGGTGTTACATGCAGTTGAGTTGATGAGATTACACAAAAATGTTAAGTCAGTGTATGTAGTCAATCTTTTGAATGCTTTTGTCAATATGAAAAAAGTTACAGCATGTATAACATATGAATAACTTATCCTGATGAGCAGATACCTGAGCAGCACTGTATGTACAGTTGTTTTCGAAAAGGTTGAAATTGAGGCACATCAAAAATTGTGAGGTGGACCGTGCCCTACCTGTGAAAGGTGGTGAATATGCATTCAGAAATGCTGGTCTAGAAGCATAACTTTGCCATCTTCAAACACCGCTGTGGCACACTTGGATGAGAGCCCCTGTCACATTGCATTGAAAACATTTCAAGGCTCCTCCCTTTTTGAGTTAGAGCCGTACTGGCTTTCTTTTTTGTCATCACACATTTTTACAAGTTTTTCTTGTTCAATCTGCTTGTTGTAAAATAACACAATGAAATAACTCAACTATCTTTGTTTGCTTCCATGTGATATTTTTGCTCTATCAACCAGTCGCTACAAACACTATTGGCAACAAAAGAGTCACACCAAATCAAACATGCAACTACCATCAACGTACCACACCTTCTGACCACTGCGCCACCAAGGAATGAATCATGATGGGTGGACAACTTACCTCATACCATATAATGTCGATCTGACCTGATTTGACAGGTAAGTTTGATACCTTTCACAGGTGGCGCACGGTCCACCTCTCAATTTTTAAAACGCCTTGATTTCAACCTTTTTGAAAACAACTGTACATGATAACCACCTATTCACTAAGCCTCCTACACATATGTAGTGTGGGTGGTATGGCTCAGGGGTCAAGTGATAGATCATTTTATGACAAATCATACTCTCAATCATTTTTTTGGCCCACTTGGGGAAGTTGAATAATGCTTGCAGTGACCTTTGCAATGAGTCTCTGCAAACAGTTGTGATGACCCACTGCAGCCGCTGCCTCCTACGCAAGCGGAGAGTCTATTGGAGCCTGCACGGCGGGGATGGTCATGCTGACGCAAGGTTGCAGATAAGATTGATGATCATGTAAAGGTTGCGTACATATTAATTGAGAATTGATATACTTGCTCATACTCTATTGGGATGGCACCATGTTGTTCCCTTATCACATTCAAGAGCTGATACTCTTGATTGCAGGCAAGTCAATCAATGCCTGTATTTGATTGTTGCGGTGGGGTGATATTACACTTTGTATGTAAAGCAAAGGAGACTCTGGGTTTCAAGTTTGGATTTTTTGCGTATTTTTTAGAAATTTGGACAAGTTGTTCATAAAAATAATTTTTGTAACACAGATGTATTTAAAATATACTGGAGTGAATATATATCTCAGATTAAATTAGGTAGATGTTAATGTTTGCAAACCCCTGTCTTCTCCTGCTCATCACACTTCAGCTCAGATAGATATGTGCACATTGACTTACGTAGAATGATCCTCAGGCTCTGTAATTCAATTTATCAAATCATCAAGTTTGCAGCTAAATTTCCGTGATGACCAAGATCTTAAGCATTGATCGTGAATCATGAACTAGTATTACCAAGTAATAAAAACGGAAAAATCCAAAAACACTCCACAAGAATCCTTTTACTAAAAAAACCTCCAAAATCTTCTTAGTTCCAGCTTTATGAATTTGAAGACCTCTTGACAGCTTTTTCAAACGATCCCTTTTGCCTTTTCTTACCCAATCTAGCTAAAGGATCACCACCACCACTTGAAGATACCCTAGAATTACTAGACCGTTTAGCAGATGAGTAATTTCCTTTACGACCAATACTTCCCAACACATCTGCAAATTCACTTTCCAATCCACCTCGTCTACCCACTCCTTTACCTGCTGCCCATGTCACACCTTGACCACCCAATGCGATAGCAGCCTCATCTGCCCTACGTTTCTTACTCTCCTTCTTAGATGTCACTAATCGAATCATGTTACTCTCCTCGTAATCATCCATTCTAGCTAATTGACGTGCACGAGCCGAAGCAACTGCTGCTGATACACCCAACCCACTCGTTGATTCTTCGTGAGGTTGGCTTTTTGAGAGTTGCGCAAGTTCACGTAAGGCCAATGGCGCAGGTGCTGGTCGGCGTCGAGGACCTTCGGATGCGGATGTAGTTGCCGTAGTGGATGGATCGGGGTAAGCCATGGGAGCCAAACGTGGTGGCCGGTAAATTTCTCCACCAGCATCACGTTCTGCGCTTGTGGATACAGGTTGGTTCGATGAAGACAGCTCCTGATCGGGAACCGTGAAACCCATTGCAGCTGGGTTGGGACGGAAAGCGAGTGGATCTGAAAGGCAAGGCGACAAAGACGAACCAAGAAACCAGAACGATTAGAATGAGTCAAGGTAAATCTGATTTTAAATTTTTGAATCAATATCCTGAAGAAATTTCACATACCATTGATGACATAATTTGGATCAGTTTCTAAAGCTCCAGCAGCATTCTCTTCAACTTTTTTCACTAATTTATCAATTTGATATTTAAGTTTACCTTCCATAGGTCTAACTTTGTCCATCACTAATCTTAACCAAACCAATTGTTCAATAGAATTAGGCATTGGTCCAGTTTTCTCTAAAAATGAAGTAGGGCCTGAAATTCTTAATGCACAAATATTAATAAGATGATGAATATAAGATAATAAAATGTCATTTTTTAATGAAAGTAAAGAGATTCCTTCTGAAGTTGATGGGATTTCTGTTGGTAATTGTTCGATTAATCTATTTGATTCGGTTTGTATTGTTTTTAATAATGTTTCAATGTTGTTGTTTTGTTCGTTGGACATTTTGATAGTCGATGACCGAGGTGTGTGATTGGTAAGGTGACAAAATTATCTGGCTGGTTTCAGTTTAAGTGATGGTTTTGAATTAGGGTTAGCTGGATGGAAAAGCCATATGTAGCACGTGATTGGGCCTCTTGAGTTACAGGTGCAGAGCGCGGCCTGTGTGAGCCACAAGCCGCATCGGGCACGCCTTTGAAGATAAGGCGGCGCACACACTCCGATAGCTGGCTCTGTGAGACTGTGCCAGACTTTGCAGATGACTGGTGTGGATTCATACGACTTTTCCGAGCAGAAGAGTTCAACCAGGTTTGAGCTCATCGAGCTGGTAGACTCTGAAATCTTCAAGACCCAGTTGCGTAAACTCGTTGCATCATCAAGAGACCATTGGTTGAAGAAATTCAGGATATAGTTGGCCCCTCTTACACACTGAGTTCATAGTCCTTAACGAGAAACTGGATAAGAGTGTCGTTTGAGATGAAGTGCGATGAGGATGATTGTGAGGGAGGAAAAGAGAAATATTTGATTACATAGCCGGATTTGCACTCTGGGACTCGTAAACTCATTTGAGAAATGCCTAAAGCTGCGATTCAACAAAATCAAAAATAAACCAAGAATGCCTGAAACGGCATGAATATTTATCACCCTGAGGACATCCAGTAAAATAGAATTTTTGTGAATACATTGACATATCTGGTCATCTTGATTGCAATCGCATAAGGTCCCTGACTTCTTCTTACTTCCACATACATAATGTCGTCCAAAGAGCGTGTCTGTATTTTTGGGGAAATAGCAGTTGGACATGATCATCTTGTCATCTCCAAACCCGGCTTATCCTGATGATAATAGAAACTTCATCAAATCGAGCAAATTTTCTTTTATCCTCGCTGGTTGCAGGACTTCGGGTGTTTTGACGAACCGACGCGTGTTTACCATACCCGGAAATGGGTATTCATTACATCCGAATCCGGTATGACGTCAGAGTGTTAATGATGCTCGATTGATTAAGGTTATGCCATTACCGAAAATGGTTTACAATAATCACCAAGCTTCTTGTTTACCGTCCTGAGTGTTGAAGAGTCATTCAATTGGGTTTTAAAAGGCAAGAACCTTGATCAAGTTCCTTCACAACTTCATCACTCACATCTAGTTCCAACAAACAAACAATTTAATCCACAAACCTCACATCCATCTCCTACTACTCTATCATCAGTCAACATGTCTGTTACTCGATTCCTCTTTAGCACTCGAGCTTTTACTCGCCCTGCTGCCCGATCTCAAGTACTTGCACCTTGCTCTCAATTCTCTACTAGCCCATACTCTCGTGACTTGGTTGGCAAAGTTCAAGAAGCCGCTGATGCAGTTTCGTTATCTCTTTCTTCTCATCTCATTTTCTGTCTTGAATTTCGAGGTAGATGTACTAATGGTATATTTATCATTTCAGGTTAGCAAGAAAGCTGGACAAAGCGCATCCAAGGGTATCGAGACTCTAGAGTCAGCTAAAGATAGAGTCATGTCGGCCACTGGTACCGCCAGCTCCCAAGCTAAGAATGTGAGTCATCATCCAATGTTCTTTACATTTACATTTCCATTTGTTCAGTTTTATTTGTACACTTCTTCGGGTTTTATATCTCTGATACTATCTATTTTGGTTATTGATTTCATCCCTCAGGTCGCTAGTGACGCACAAAATGAGATGGGCAAAACGAAAGAATCGGCCAAGTCTATGGCTAAGGACGCTCAAAAGAAAGCTACCAACTGATTATCTAAACTGTCTATCGGTTGTCTTCTCGCCTTACTTGGCCTACCCTTTGCTTCTCATCACAATCAAGCAGAAAAGAATGAAAATGTATCAGTAGATGTTAATGGCCTATTTGCAACTTTCTTTGATTTACGCGCGAAGTTGAAGTTTGTGCCTTGAGCATTGTGACTCCTTGGCTGGATTGAAGTTAACGGATAGAGATCAATAGGTGACATTTCCTACAATCCTTGCAATGCTTCGTTCATGTTCCTTGTGCTTCCGTGCCATGAGGCTCCTTGATGCGTAAGATTGTATGACATTTGAACTACCTGAGTTAGCTGTTCCGTCAATGGAAGAGTGGACGTGCCGAATGCTTGTTGAACTTCTCTGGAAGAACACTCCAAATAACATGCGTTTGTCTTCAAAGGTGAATCAGGTAAGCCGTATATTGTGTTGTCTCTGAATTGTAACACTATTGTCGTTGATGCCATCATTTGAATGAGATCAACGGTGTGTTACAATCTCATATATGTAACACATGTGAAAGAGATGAGAGATGTCACGCAAGATGCGTATTTATAACTTGTATTACGTCACTTGTAGAACTCTTCCCTCATCCGACAATCTGAATAACAAACGTAGATTGCTTGGTCCAGATCCTTCATTCCTTCCTCGAGCCAGATCCCGTGAGACAAGACCTTAACATATTGTCGGATCTAAACAACGGGAATCAAGGAAAACGAAATCGAATCGACAGAAACTGAATCAGAAGAAGAATTAGATTAAGATTTATATTAGAATTAGAACTGAACTGAAACCATATAGATTGATTGAACAAAGAACTTAAACTTACACTACCTCAGATTGAACTACCGAACTTATTGAACAACATAGTTTAGATTATTAGAACTTGATTCATACTGAAACCGCCACCACGTCACCTTCGTACAGAACCCCACAATCCGGAGAGGCTGATTCGGATTCCGAAGCTTCCCATTCCTTCGTTGACGCCGATCACCAAACGCTCGCTCTAGAACCGCCTCCTGAATCTGCGACGCCAACGAGTATGGAGGACATCCAACGTCAGATCAACGAGTTGTCCACCTCTTTGAACAACGAACGCACTTTGCGTGAGCAGGCTGAAGCTCGATCGCGTGACGCAGAGAGCCGCCTAGCCGATTTGATGGCTCGCCAGAATCAGACCTCACAACCTCCTCTGGCGCCGGCTGCTACCACTACGCACGTCCACGCCGAGCTCGCACCTAATCCCAAAGGACCTAAGGTGTCGACGCCAGATAAATTCAGTGGCGTCAGAGGGTCGCCTGCCGAAATTTTCCTTAGTCAAATCCAGCTTTACTTACTTGCTCATCCCTATCAATTCGTCGACGATAGAAGCAAAGTGGTGTTTGCCTTGTCATATCTCACAGGCACTGCCGGTAACTGGGCCCAGCCTCTCATGACCGAATTGCTCGACGCTTCGACAGCTCACCTTGTCACGTTCGATCGGTTTTTGACCAACTTTCGGGCTATGTACTTCGATACCGAGAAGAAATCGAAAGCCGAGAGAGCCTTACGTCATCTTTCCCAGAAGACTTCGGTAGCGGCATATACTCATGAATTTAATATGCACGCAACGGCTACTGGCTGGGAGGTTCCGACCCTTATCAGTCATTATGAACAGGGGTTGAAGAAGGAAATCCGAGTGGCGATGGTCATGACGCAGGACGCATTCACCAGCTTAGAGCAGATTGCCAACCTTGCTATCAAGATTGACAGCAAGTTACATGGAGCTTCCGATAATTCTCCTACATTTCATGTTCCTACTGTTGACCCCAATGCGATGGACATATCGTCCAGCTTTGTTCGACTCACTGACGAAGAACGCGCTAAACGGTTGAGAACGGGGTCTTGCTTCATTTGTAATGTTCAGGGTCATCTGGCGAGCGCGTGTCCTAACAAGAAGAAAGTTGTTAAAGGCAAAGGGAGATCGGGTGGTTTTGTCAATTTTAAGAATAAGTTTGCTGAATTAGAAGCGAGGGTTGCGGCTATGGGTGGTAGAGATTCAAGCTATATAGATAAGCAAGAAGGGGGTAGTAGATCTGATATGTCGAAAAATGGCGTAGCTCAGGACTGAAGGTTGTGCCTTTCCTGAGCCAACATGGGGATTTAGTGGATATTCAATTAGGTGCTAGTAAAATTATGCCTTGCAATGCAGATGATCCTCGACTGTTTTTGCGTACTACACTTTTCTTGTCCCACTTTCCCCGAGCCACACCACCAGATTACCCAATTAATTCCCTTCTCCTGATCGACTCCGGCGCAACACATAATGTGCTAAGTGAGTCCCTTGCGAGTAAATCAGGTTTAATCCCTCTTTCCAAACGCACTACAAGAGTGGTTACCGGATTCGACGGCTCGCAAAGCAATTCATCTTATGAGATTGACCTACACCTCAAGAACAACTCGTTACCGACCAGATTTATTATTACTAAAGTCAAGGATTCTTATGATGGTATACTAGGTATACCTTGGATTAAAGACAATTTTAATTTAATTAATTGGCAGACTGGACAGGTTCAAGACTTCGACCATTGCATTGCGGCTGCATCTGCAGTTTCGTCTGGCCCGACAACACCCTTACCGGATCTGGGAATGGACCCCGTGAGGGACGCTAGGTGCTTTGACGAGGGGATGTGTACCAATTTTGATACATTAGCATCCCCGCAATGTGAGTGTGCTCTCGACAATCATCCCAATTTTTTTGCAACCGCTGGCAAGCATTCTTTGCCCCCTAGATCACAGATTATCAAACGTACTATGGACGACTCGATCCCCTCCTTTCACTTACAAGACGCACCTTCCATTGCAGCTGCTTGCTCAGCTTCGTCTATTCCGCCCCAGTCCCCCAAGGATCTCGACGAGAAGCCAGAGGGGCATGCTAGGAAATATGACGAGGGGATGTGTATCAGGAATGATACGTTAGCATCCCCGCAATGTGAGTTCGACCGCGTAGTTATCCCTTTACCTATTGAAACAGCTAGCAAGCCCTGCTTCTTTTCTGAATCACAACATCAGACATCCGATATTCACCCGGCTCAGACATCCGATCTTCAGTCCACTCCTTCACCTTGTATTCAACCGACTAACATACGACCAGTGATCCACATTGCAACTGATGATTCAGTTTCGTCCAGTCCGCCACAACCCCCAGAGGTTCTTGAGGAGAAGCCAAAGGGGCATGCTAGGAATAGTGACGAGGGGGCCTGTAATCTTTATGATACAATTACGCCCCCGCAATGTGAGTTCGAGATTTCTCCTATCACCTCTACTATTGAAACAGCTCGCCAGTATGCTCCTCTCCTGAATAGTCATGCAGTCGAACTCAACCCCGCAAAGACATCGTGGTCGACATCAGCAAGATTAGCTGCTGATTTGAAGCTTCAAGAACCAGTTAAATCAGTTGAGGAGATGGTTCCGTCTTATTATCATCGTCATTTGCATATGTTTCGCAAGTCTAACTCGCAACGATTACCTCCGAGGCGAAAATACGATTTTAAAGTGGAACTCGTGCCTGGCGCCCAGCCTCAAGCTAGCAAGATCATACCTTTATCTCCAGCTGAGAACGAGGTACTTCAGAAGATGATCGACGAGGGCTTGGCAAATGGAACCATCCGGCGAACTACGTCTCCTTGGGCTGCCCCGGTACTTTTTACCGGGAAGAAGGACGGTAATCTGAGGCCATGCTTCGATTACAGGAAGCTGAATTCATTGACAGTGAAGAATAAATATCCTCTTCCACTGACAATGGATTTAGTGGACAGCCTTTTAGACGCGGAGAAATACACTAAATTGGACCTGCGTAACGCATATGGTAATCTTCGTGTTGCTGAAGGCCACGAAGATATACTTGCGTTTATTTGTAAACATGGGCAATTTGCTCCCCTGACACTGCCTTTTGGACCGACGGGAGCCCCAGGACACTTCCAATACTTCATCCAGGACATATTACTGGGAAGAATTGGTAAAGACACCGCTGCTTACCTGGATGATACGATGATTTATACGAAGAAGGACGTGCATCACGAGGAAGCGGTGGATGGAGTTCTTGATATACTGAGCAAACACGACCTCTGGATTAAACCGGAGAAGTGTGAATTCTCGAAGGACGAAATTGAATATCTTGGTCTCCTGATTTCGAAGAACAGAATCAAGATGGATCCCACTAAGGTTAAAGCTGTCAAGGACTGGCCGGCGCCACGCAACGTAAACGAACTTCAAAGATTCATTGGATTTTCTAATTTTTACCGCCGTTTTATCGATCACTTTTCTAAAACTACACGACCTTTGCATAATCTGACAAAACTGAAGACTCCTTTTATATGGGATGCGAAATGTGATGAGGCTTTTGAATCATTGAAGACATCTTTTACAACCGCCCCCATCCTCAAAATTGCGGACCCTTACAAACCATTCATTCTCGAATGTGATTGTTCGGATTTTGCTTTGGGTGCTGTATTATCTCAGCGGTGCGAAAAGGATGGTGAAATTCACCCCGTGGCTTATCTTTCTAGATCTCTTGTTCAAGCGGAGCGCAATTATGAAATTTTTGACAAAGAGTTGCTAGCTATAGTGGCCTCCTTTAAGGAGTGGCGACACTATTTAGAGGGTAACCCTAACAGGTTGGAAGTGATTGTGTATACGGATCACAAAAACTTAGAATCTTTTATGACAACCAAACAGCTCACCAGGAGACAGGCACGTTGGGCTGAAACCATGGGATGTTTTGATTTTGTCATTAGATTTAGGCCTGGGCGAACGGCAGGGAAACCTGATGCTTTATCACGACGTCCTGATTTGGCACCTGATGAAAGCGAGAAATGGACATTTGGACAGCTACTACGGCCTGAAAATATTGATTCCGACTCGTTCCCGGCTGAACTTGCTGTTTGTGAGGCATTTTTCGAAGACGAAATCATCGATCTGGAAGATTCTGAACGCTGGTTTGAAATTGATGTACTGGGTGTATCTGACACTCAAATATCTGATATTCCTGAGAACGCTGAAACCGTGGACGACTCATCTGACTTCAAATCCGACAACGACATCATTGATTTGATACGAATTGCAAATAAATCAGATGAAAGGATGATTGAATTGATCTCAGCAATTAGAAATCCTATATCAGTTAAATTTAAGAAGGCATCAAATCATTTTGAAGAAAAGGACGGGGTATTATACAACAGAGGTAGAATTGAAGTACCGCATAATGATGATATTAAATTTATGATTGTCAAGAGTCGTCACGATAGCCTCTTAGCGGGTCACCCGGGCCGAGCAAAGACATTAGGCCTTGTTAGGCGGTGTTTCACGTGGCCATCAATGAAAGCCTACGTGAACAGGTACGTTGATGGATGTGACTCATGTCTACGAGTCAAATCTAACACGACGAAGCCATTCGGGACTCTGGAGCCTTTGCCAACTCCGGCAGGTCCATGGACGGACATTACTTACGATCTGATTACGAAGCTACCGGAGTCAAGAGGCTTTGATAGTATACTAACGGTGGTGGACCGCATGACCAAAATGGCCCATTTTTTGCCATGTAAGGAGACTATGACAGCGAATGACTTAGCTGACATTATGATTCAAAACGTTTGGAAGCTACACGGTACTCCTAAAAGTATTGTTTCAGATCGCGGAACCATTTTCGTATCTCAAATCACTCAAGAATTGGATAAGCGACTGGGAATTCGGCTACACCCTTCCACTGCTTATCACCCACGAACTGATGGACAAAGCGAGATTGTTAATAAGTCAATCGAACAGTACCTAAGGCACTTCGTCGAGTATCAACAAGGCAACTGGGAAGCTTTGCTACCAACGGCCGAGTTTGCTTACAATAATCGTGATCATGAATCGACGGGTATTTCACCTTTTAAGGCAAACTATGGGTTCAATCCAACGTTTAACAGAGTGCCATGTGCAGACCAATGTATCCCGGTGGTTGAAGATAGGTTGAAGATGATTGACGAAGTCCAACGTGAACTGACACACTACCTTGATATTACTCAGGAGACGATGAAGAAGCAATTTGACAAACATGTCAGAGACACACCGGAATGGGACATTGGTGATCAGGTGTGGTTGAACGGGAAACATATTTCTACGACACGACCCAGCCCCAAATTGGAACACAGATGGCTAGGTCCTTTTACTGTTATTAAAAGGGTGTCAAATTCTGCTTACAAACTTGATCTTCCAATTTCTATGAAGAGAATTCATCCGGTTTTCCACGTATCATTACTTAGGAAACACTTACCCGATACCATTCCTCAAAGAAGACAATTAGAACCTCCACCAATTATTATTGACGGTGAAGAAGAATTTGAAGTGGCAGAAATATTGGATCGTAGAAGGAGGGGTAAATCATTAGAATATTTAGTGAATTGGAAGGGTTATAATTCAAATCATAATTCATGGGAACCTTTACGAAATTTGTCAAACAGTAAGGATTTGGTTGTTGATTTTGATAGCAGGTTTCCTACATTATCATCAAGAAGCAAGAGGCAACGGAGAAAGTGAGTGGGTATAGCTTTTTCCCACAGGGTTTTTTAATGCTACCCAGGGAAAGAATGCAGAACTCGCAAAAGGGAGTTTGGGCATTAAAGGGGGGATAATGTTACAATCTCATATATGTAACACATGTGAAAGAGATGAGAGATGTCACGCAAGATGCGTATTTATAACTTGTATTACGTCACTTGTAGAACTCTTCCCTCATCCGACAATCTGAATAACAAACGTAGATTGCTTGGTCCAGATCCTTCATTCCTTCCTCGAGCCAGATCCCGTGAGACAAGACCTTAACACGGTGCAAGAAGTTCCTATTCACTGCAGACATTATTCGGGTTCCCCAAGTGGGCAGGGAAAAATGATTGGGAGTATGATTTGTCATAAAATGGTCTATCACTCCACACCTGAGCCATAACACCCACACTACATATGTGTAGCAGGCTCAGTGAATATGTGGTTATCATGTACATACAGTTCTGCTCAGTTATCTGCTCATCAGGACAAGTTATTCATATGTAATACATGCTGTAACTTCTTTCAGATTGAAAAAAGCTTCCAAAAGATTGACTACATACACTGACTCAATGTTTTGGTGTGATCTCATCAACTCAACTGCATGTAACACACTTTCTGTTACTAAGACATAGCTTCAACAATATTGCCTGAGCAGCTACAGAATTATATGTAGTGAATTTTTGGGAAAAAAATTTCAAAGTCGAAAAAGTTACATGTGGTATAACATGTGATTTATTTATTCTGATGGGCAAAAAACTGAGCAGACCTGTATGTACATGATAGACAACTATTGACTTAGCTTGCTGCACATATGTAGTGTGGGTGAAATGGCCCAGGTGTGCAGTATTAGATTCTTTTATGAAAAACTGTACTATTAATCATTTTCCTCTGCCAAATTGGGGAAGTTGAATGATGTTTACAGTGATTGTTATTCCTGTCATTCCTGGCGTGGCACGCTGTTCCACAGGGCTGTTGGAACTTGCAATAGTGCACCTTCTGCCTAGCAAAGTCATGGAAGTCTTCAATGCCTTTATAAGCTTCTCACTATCCCAGAGTCTGCTTATGCTTGTTCAGTGTCTATGGACGTTGGACTTGTTAAGGATGATCCACTTATTTGCAACACAATCAAGCATAGACCCCTTTCTTTTGCAAAATATGCTTCATCTGAAATATAAGTGGATGTACAAGCTGATCTGAATGACAATAACCTGAAGTGAATTCCAAGTACAACCCTATGTGCTGATGCATGCAATCTAGAAATCCTATATTGTTTGCCATGTAGAGAACGGATGCGCAAGGAAGTCTGATGTGAGATTAAAACACCTTATTGATGTGGCCATTACATATGAGTCAGTTTCACCAACACCCAAACTCATCACCCAAGATTTGAGTTGAACTTACATCATCACAAATCATGACATCTGCATTGTGGATCTTAAAACTTTGCAGGATTTGAGATATCATCTTATTATCAATTTTGGTCAACAAGACTCTAGATAGCTAAAACAGAGTGCAGAACAAAACTTCTCAGACAGGTCTTTCAATGAATGTGCAAGAGGACAAAAGGCATACGTAGCATTGATTGTTATACCACCTGCGTGTAAGGAAAAAGGACAAGAAATAAGGCAAAAGAGGTAAGCCAAGCAAAGAGAACTCACTTCATACCTCTGCTCACCTGCCATTTTGGACTTGATATGAACATTGGGTGATTTTGGGTTTAAACAGATGCCAATGGCCTCCAATTTGATCTTTAACAATTGACATTGAGTGTTGGATCTACACAAGCACAAAATGGGACCAAAATGTGGTGGAGTTTCAGATTTTGGGAGATTCCTGCTTACTTAGTGAGATCAAGCATCATGACAATCAAATCAGCTGTGTGAGCCACAGCAACAACTTTCCAACCCCAACCTTTACCCTGCAAGCACCTTCCACGCTACCAGGTAAATTGAGGACTGAGGATAGTGGAACATCAGAGCCAGTGTTGACTGTGGTACAGAGAATGATGTGCTGATGCTGGATTTTAGATCCCTCGATTTGCAAGACACCCTGTAGCACATTATTCAAAATCAGAATTGTGTTTCAAAACCTAGATCTACAGCCAGTGAGGCAGGAATAGAACAAACCGGTATAGCTGTGAGTGCAGTGATATCACTGGCTGGAACAGCTGAAGTTGTATTGGTGAGTTTGTTGAGTGTAGTACTCTTCCCAGCAGATGGAAAGCCAATTAATATCACACAAGTGTCTACAGTATCATCATTATTATACCATAATTGAAGACTATGAAACATGAATGTTAGGATTATCACCTGATTTGGTCACATAAAATCTGTCACCTGGACAAGCAGATTTTTTGGCTGGTTCTAGGAGCTCAGCAAAGTACATGGCTAGCTTGGCCTTGAGTCAACCCAGATGATACCTTTTGACATGAAATTTCAGGAAAGATATGGTGTATTAAAAGAGTGAAGATTTGTTTCAGGTGAGCTGTGTACTGAACAATGAATTTGATTCATGAATGATGCAATGCAGGACATTGAAGATTCATAAAATTGATATCATAGACACCTTCATGATTGCTGCTTAGAAGCTGACTCCGTAGCCTGGAGCAAAAAAAATCAAAAGAAGATCAATCAGACCTTGGAAGTGCTCTAAGGATCTTTTGAAAACATTTCCACTGTACTAACCTTATTCTTCTGTGTGAGCCATTTTGAGCTCTAAAAGAATTGTGAAAGTGTCAGCTCACTAGATATGACAAATGATTAGGAAGATATATGGATTGAAGTTACAGATGTGCTTACTTGTTTGGGTTATCCAATCTAACATTTACCCTTCTCATATTGACTCTTATGATATTACTTTCTTGTCTTATATGTTATGATATCATCTTACTTACTCTGACATATGCTGTGTTTCCTATGGAGTGCTGTGAGAATGTACGCAATGTTTTTGGTATATAAAGAGACCTACTTTACCTGCTTGTATGATTTCCCTTTTTCCTTACCAATTTCTCTCCATCACTTTGAGCAGGTTTGGTCCTTGCTCTAAATTGGTCACTGAGATATAATATCTCCACTAGTAGCTTACTAGTCTTTCCCTCAGACTTTTAGCCATCTCACAATTAGATGTAGTTTGTGAGCTCACCAATCTCTCTGACCTTCTTCACAATACCCATGGTGATTATTTAATGAGAATTTGAATCCTGGAGTCGAGTGAGAGTGAAGAGTTTCAACTTGATGCAACTTTGTATAAATCCAGTCACTGTCACTGACATGTAACACTCATGGACATGCTTGAGTTCACAATGACATTCCGTCTGCTTGACTTTCACAATTTGCTAGGCTTTCACAAGTGTGGCTCTGATTGATCATTGTTGGACAGAATCCAAACACAAAACATAAATCTTAGTATAAGATGAAGAGAAACAGCCACAAAAATCTTATAGTAAGATTTTGTAAAGAAACAGTCAGATGAGAAAAGAAATCTACCAGACTGGTGTTCAACATCAGGGTATCAAGAAAACACAAAAATGAAATATAATGAATGACATCACAAGACCATTGACGTAATGTTCCTGATTGGGCTATATGATGTAATGTAGTCAAATTGAGAACAACAAAAATGGACAAGATCACAAATACATTTATGAGAAATACATTAAATATGTAGTAAGACATTTGAAGCACAAATAAATCCAACAATCATTGATCACAAACCCCAGAGCATCCACAGCGGACTTTCCAAAAATTTGAAAAGTCTGGCTTTTGGACAGTCCACTTGTTAAGACTGGGTCTCAGGGGTTCGTCGACAAGGATTGAGTTAGCCTCGTGAGGTTCTTATGATTGATAACGAGATTGTCCGATGAGGAATACAATCAGGTCTGTAGTGCGTAATCTAAAGTACATCATGATCTGTGACATGTGCTGAGTGAGTGTCATCTATACGTGTAATACGAGTCATAACATTATCCCCCATTTAATGCCCAAGCTTCCTCTTGCCAGCTCTGCATCCTTATCCCCGGGTAGCATTAAAAAACCACATGGGAAAAAGCTTTACCCTCTCACCGTTTTCGCCTTCTTCTCCTATGTTGTCCTGCTGCTTTAGGGTATTCTTTGTCGAAATCTTTCACTAACCCGTCACTGTTCTTCAAATGTGATAAAGGCTCCCAAGAATTTTCTTCAGCTCCAAACCCTTTCCAACTTATCAAGTACTCACGCCTTCCATTTTTTATTCGACAGTCTAATACCTCTTCTACTTCCCATTCGTCATTTCCGTCTATGGTAATTGGAGTTGGTGTTGCTGGTTGTCGTCCTTCTATACTGTCGGTGTTGTGTTTTCGTAGTAAGGACACGTGGAACACCGGGTGCACTCCCTTCATGGTGCTTGGTAATTTCAATCTGTAGACAGAAGGAGAGATTTTTTCAGTGATGTCAAACGGTCCTAACCACCTGTGACTTAATTTGGGACTAGGTCTAGTAGTTGAAATATTTTTCCCGTTCAGCCACGCTTGATCTCCAATCTTCCAGTCCGGCGTTGGCCTCACACTCTTATCAAACTGATTCTTCATTTCTTCTTGTGCTAATTTCAAACATTCTGATAATTCTGATTGTACGTCTTGAAGTAATTTTAATCTTTCTTCCACTTTTGGGATACATTGTTCTTTTAGTGGTATACCTCCAAATGTCGGATTGTACCCGTAGTTAGCCTTGAAAGGTGAAACCCCTATAGACACGTGATCTTTGTTATTATATGAAAACTCAGCTGTTGGTAGTAGTGATTCCCAATTCTCTTGACGGTAGTTAACGAAGTGTCTTAGGTATTGTTCGATAGCTTTATTGACTATCTCGGATTGGCCATCTGTCCTCGGGTGAAAAGCCGTCGACGGTTGCAATCGTATACCTAGCCTGGTATTCAGCTCTTTTGTCAGCTGTGATACGAAGATTGAGCCTCTGTCCGAAATAATTGATTTTGGTGTTCCATGCAGACGCCATACTTCCTTTACCATAATATCCGCCAATTCATCTGAGGACATACTTTCTTTGCATGGTATGAAATGAGCCATCTTTGTCAATCTGTCAACGACCGTGAGGATGCTGTCTTTTCCATTGGATTCTGGCAATTTGGTAATTAGGTCGTAACTAATGTCGATCCACGGGCCTGCTGGAATTGGCAGGGGTTCTAAGGATCCGAAAGGCTGCTGATTGCTGGTTTTAACTCTCAAACATGAATCACAGCTGTCAACGTATCTATTCACAAAAGCTTTCATTCCTGGCCAGGAGAAGCACCTACGGGCCAAGCTTAAAGTCTTTGATCTTCCAGGGTGACCCGCTATTAAGCTGTCATGTCGGCTTTTTAATATGAGTAGCTTGATAGCATTGACTTGAGGTACTTCAATTCGGTTTTGATTATAAAGTATTCCATCCTTAACGTTGTATTTTGATACGGCTGATTTCAATTTTGACGATATCGGGTTCTGCACGACATTTATAAGTTCCTGAATTCTCTGGTCATTTGATGTTGCTTGACGTATCTCGTTGATGATTTCTTCGTCGGACGGTGCGCGGCTCTCTTCGGTTACTAGGTTATCAGTTGGATTAGATACTCCTAGGACGTCGATTTCAAACCATTTGTCAGTGTCTTGTAGGTCGATGTCTTCATTTTCGAAAAATGACTCAATTGAAGCGACTTCAATGGAATCAATGAAAGTATCAGGGGTTATATTGTCCGGGCGTAGCAACTGGCCGAATGTCAGCTTTCCTTCCTTCGTCGGAGCTAGGTCTGGACGTCTTGATAGAGCATCGGGCTTGGTGGCTTGTCTACCGGGTCTGAACTTGATTATAAAGTCGAAACAACCCAGCGTTTCGGCCCAACGAGCCTGACGTCTTGTCAGTTGTATAGTCGTCATAAAGGTTTCTAAGTTCCTGTGGTCCGTATAAACAACGACTTCCAGTCGGTTTGGGTTTCCCTCTAGGTAATGTCACCATTCCTTGAATGCCGCGACAATTGCCAACAGTTCCTTATCGAAGATCTCATAATTCCGTTCGGCCTGAATTAGGGATCGTGATAAATAGGCCACAGGGTGTATTTCACCATCGTCATCACTTCGTTGAGAAAGAACAGCTCCCAGTGCGAAATCTGAGCAGTCACATTCGAGTATAAAGGCCTTATACGGGTCAGCTATCTTGAGGACTGGTGCGGTTGTAAAGGCGGTTTTCAGGTGTTCGAAAGCTTGATTACAACGCTCGCTCCAATTGAAGACAGTCTTGTGTTTGGTGAGATTGTGCAGTGGCCTGGTGGCAACGGTTGAAGCGCACCGCTTGACGTTTTTTTTTGTAGCGGGTCAAAGCAACCCGCCATCGCCCCAATCTAAATCTGGGGTTGTAGCGGGCTGTAAAAATGGCGGGGCGATTTAGATTTGCGCCCCGCACCCCTTGCTCAGAGCGGGATGTAGCGCTTAATCTCAGATGATGCAAGATAACAACCTTGATATCATTCTCAGACCAGCTCATATCGATCCTTGGCGCCTGCAACCCCAACCGACAAGCGTGAACAGGCTTCCAAACCCTCGATACACAATTTTTGACCAGCCAAATCTTTGACAGCGCCTGCAACCCCATCGAACGAGCACGAAACAAACACAATATCATCCCTTATCCTCCACTCGACAAGCCAAATCTTCGACCTAACGCTAATCTTGATGTCCGGCAGACTCGAATGGCCTGAAGCATATTGTGAGCCCTTTTTCTTCTTTGGTCACGTCTTTGAAGCGCACCAAACTGACCCAATCAACCCCATTTCTTTCATGCAACCCCTCCGGTTATCGTAACTCAATTCTTTTAGGCGTATCAGGTGACAGAAGCTGTTCATATCACCGTACTCGATCTTCATAAGAAGCTGAGTACCTTGATCCTTCCTCCCACACACGATCATTGACCAATCTATCATAAAAAAAACTAGCAATTATTTTACTGATTGTATTCTTTTCAAACAAAAACTTACCGTTCTCAATTCTTTCTCATCGTACTGTTGATACCTTCCAATAACAACACCGTTCTCAATTCTTTCTCATCGTACTGTTGATACCTTCCAATAACAACTATGGCTCACTCTATGTCAACTCTTGCTCCTCCTACCAGTACCGGTCCTACGCTTCGCCCTAGAAGCCCTACTAGTCCAACTCCTAAGCCTGGTTTTGTGATTCAATCCCCAGACTCGCAAGTCTCAGTCCAACGTCCTTCCAGCGACGGAGCCGGTAAGGGCGACAACAACGAAGACAGCGATAGTGAATTACCTTCCGACATCAACTTTGATAGTCGTGCCTTCGATCCTGCTCACACTACCAATGAATCCGACTCTGATTCCGTCGTGGAGATAGCTCAACCTCAAGACTTCCTGGCAAAGATTAC